ATTAATAGATAGTAATAATATAAATATAAATATAATACAATATATATTATATATAATATATATATATATTATATATAATATATATATATATTATATTTATAAAATAAACATAAATATGTAATATATCATATAATATAATATAACAAAGAATTATATACAGTATATATTAAATATAAATATAAGGCAAAATTATATAAATATCCGTTTTATTTGCTGTTATTACGAAAATACCAAATAGTTTTTGTTATTACAAATATGTCTGTTTTTTCAACTTCAAAACACTTTTTTTAAAAAAAAAGACGAAACTACCCATTTTCGGTTTTTGAAAAACTGAAATTAAAAAAAAAAAAAAATCAATTTTTCAAAAACCAAAAATTTAAATATTTCGGTTTTTCAAAAACCAAAAATTTAAAAGTTAAGGCTTTTCAAAAACCCAATTTATTTATGCCCAATTTTGGTCTTTCAAAAACCAAAATGGGAGTGAATTCAGTTTTTGAGAAACCGAAATTAGTTCAGCCGAGCGGCACTTGTGCTTTCAATAGTCGAAAAAATCATAGATAACTTTTGCTCTCTGCATATTGCGCTCTCCTTCATGCTTCATCATAAATATTTACTCCTTGCTGTTTCTAAAGCTAAGAGCAGCTAACTCTAGATTCCTCTTTTGAGCCTCTAAATCTCCAATCAAATCTTGTAGAAGTTTAAAAATATGTCGCCTCTTATCTCTAATCAAATCATGTAAAAGTTTGAAAATATATGGCCTCTGACCCAATAAGGATTCTGCAAATGATCTTAAGGAATATTCTTTGTCGTCTATGTGTCCTACACATTGAGGAAGGCTTTCCACAAGGTACATGTGAGGCTCGTTAGAGAGCTGGAAAAAAAGTTCAGTGGGAAGGCACAATATTACAAAGCTTTCTTGTAGTAGTGTGTCGAGTTTCTTTTTTTTATATATTTTCACAGTTCTAGCATAAAATTGAAAAAGATGCTAAATTTAGTGAGAACCACTGTTTCTGTAGTGGCCACCAGAGGAGGAGAAGGAGAAGCTTTGAGAATTGGGGGGATTGCTCCATTTGTTTCAGTAGAGAGAAACACGCTTCTGATGTTTCTCCAAGCCATTGATGTTGTTCTCAGAAGCTGCAAGGAGTTCGTGTTTTTCTCTCTAAAATTTTGGCCATGTTTTTATAAATTTGATTTTTCAAAAACCGAAATCAGACCTAATTCAGTTTTTGAAAAATCGAAAATGGGTAAAACAATATTTTAAAATAAAAAATTGTTATAAAGTTAAAAAAACGAACATAAGTGTAACAACATAAACTATTAGGTATTTTCATAATAACGAAAAATAAAATGAAGATTTATGTAATTTTCCCTAAATATAAATATATAGTATAATATAATGTAACATAATATTATATATATAATATAAGGAAAAAGTTTATATAAAGATGAGGTTCTAATCAATCAAATTAGAGCCCATCTCAAAAATTTCACTAAAAGAGGTTGTTTTGATGCCCAAATATCCTCAAATTGATCATCACGACATCAAGATGCGTGGACATGAGAAAAAAATTGATTTCAAGTTTTGGAAATAGTGCATCTAGCAACGCATTTTTGGACCGTCAATTTTCAAGACTTTCAACTTTTCATAGATCTGCTTTCAGCAGCATTATATAATACTATGTTATATTATATTATATATTATGTATTTATGTTTAT